TTTTTTTTTTTTTTTTTTTTTAGGGTCTGGGATACTTCTAAAATAGTCCTTAAACAGTTCACTGCCTTTTTATAGCTCCATGGAATAACATAAAAGCTTTAAAAAAAAATTGTACCAAATGGCCGATATTTAAGAACCCTTGCCGTCCTGACAGCCTCTGCTTGGCTCTCAGTTTGAATTTCATTTTTCTTTCAGGGGGCAGGATTTCTACAATTAGCTGGCCTTTTTGTAAATCAACACTTTTGGGAAAGATCAAAATCTAAGTAGTGACAGGAACAGTCATTCAACAGTGAGCAAGAAAATGGGAATTCAGAGAATATTGAGACCTCCCCATACGCAGGGTCAGCTGCCCTCACACTCAAATATCTTTTTGGAAAGATAACTTCTGAGAACAGCAGCCTGTTTATGCTTTGGAGAAACCGCCCTTCTTTCAGGAGTGGGTATAGAATAGCCAAGTCAAATGCTGTAATCCATAGGACTCCGTGAAATGTCTGCATCAAGCAATAACATACTTAGTGGCTAATGTAAAAGATAGAGTATAAAATATTCATCACGCATAACCTTTTTATATCAAGCAGTGCCTAAATGGATCCTGGTTTATTGAGATTAATGCCTTGGTTACACAGGATTCAAAACAATGTTTCCAAACATGTTGGACTAGTTAAAAAACTATAAAACCTTAAAGCTGAACTGCAAAACTTGAGTAACCATCTCCCCTCCAAAAAAGGCTTTTTAAAAACGTCAGTAAGTTTCCAGTTCAGCCATGGCATCTATATGCAGACACTAACAGTCAGAGCCAATTGTGTTTTCAAACAAAATGCTCCAGGCCTGGCTCTGAAGTTCCCCTAACAAGAAAGGTGTGAAGCGGGGCAGGGGCAGCCAAACCTTACTTCAGGACAGGGATCCCGCCTGCTGCACACTAAGCAAAGCGTACAAAGGCCACCGTGAAGGCCAAGTGCGTGAGACAGTTGTCCACATAAGACTAAGTCAGAGATGCAGGATTCTGTAGCTCTAAGGCTGCCCTTGCAGCATTGAAGCTGGACATTATAAAGCACATATTCATTAGCGACCTGCCACCTCTGTGCTGCTGGGGTCAGGAAGAACCGTCCAGCCCAGGAAAACCCAGCAGAGTGTAGTACGTTGTAGGGGGACTAGGCTTCTTAGAATATAGTCTCCTGCTCACAGCAGGCCAGCCATTCTGCTCACAGGCCTTTTCAGAGTAGAAAAGCTGCACTTCTGTCATGGGAACAGCATGAGATGCTGCGGCCTTCTTACTCGGCAAACTTCTAAAAAGCAGGTGGATCACAGAGGTCAAATAAAAGGACATATGCACCATATGCATATATTTCACTCTTTTTCTGGAACTGACTATGACTAACTGAAATCCACAGCCCCTGACCAAATAGCTTTCTCTTTTTTTTTTTTTTTTGGCCTGGGGATAAACTTTAAGGAAATCGTTACTGTTGACTGCATGGCTCGGGACCTTCATGACCAGTGAAGGAAAGAACCTCTCAGGGATACCCCCGAGTCCCCACAGCGATGGTGGATATGCCCTTAACTCTTTTAGTCACTGCATTCTAGGTGGAAAAGTGAAACTTTTTGAATTCAGTACTGATTAAACAACAGCAGAAAACAATGCTAAAATTCATGTTAAATGGAGATTAGACTGTTTAGTGTGTACTTACACCTGTCGCTAAATTTAGATTTTTTTAAACTTTGCAGTTCACCTTTAATAAACAGAAACATTGAAAATCAATACATTTCCAATATGGTCAAACAGCACACCTTTCCAAAGAGAAGCACAATCCAATGGCATTTCATTTCCATTTTGTATTTGCACGATTGTAAGAACAAAAGAGAAGCATTAATTTAAGATGTTATCTTGACTTTCTTAGCTGCCTGTGAGCTGTCTCTGCATTGGTGTCCCCCATTCACAGCTCACAGCACCTGCAGGCTTCGTGCAGTATCTCCTGCAAACACCACCCACATCTACCAGAAAACCCCAGATCAGTGGCACTTCCCGGGAGAAGCCAATGCCAGCCCCCAGAGTCCAGCTTACAAGGCAGCATCAACCAACAAGCACCACAGCCCCCTTCTCTGTCTTTTCCTTTATTTCAGCTACCCATCCAGTGGGATCTTATGAAACAAAACAAAACCTAAAAGAAACACAAAATAAAACATAAGTCATGCTCAAAAGAAAAATCAATGGAAATTAACATGCAAGTACAGTCACTATTAAAAGAACGTAATAAATAAAAATCAAAATTAAGACACAACATGGAATATGCTTGAAAACATAAATACAATATAATTACAAAACAGAAATCAGGAGAAAATGGGAGTCTCATTACCGAGCAACTTAGTTTTAAACTTAAAACCGATTTTACGTGGCACGTGAAACACAGGAAAGGAATGCAAAGGATTTCTGCACACGGTTCCACCCACAACTGTATCAGATGTTAACATCTTAATTTAAGGAGGAGAAATCTGTGCACAACATGACTCCTGAATAATTTTTATATATAGGGAAAAAAATAAAATTCAACAACAAATATCTACCCAAATTCTCATTTTCTTTTCCCGCCTATAAAACCAAGTTATTTCTAAAGTAACTGATCAATTACTCAGCCATATCAGAGAACTAGCTGGCTTTAACCAGTACAATATTGAGCCCACACGAAGATTGAGATTCTTTTTCAGAAATCCTACTATTAAATAATTAACCGCCTATATTTAAGTACCATACCGTACCTATGGCACATATATATAATCTATTACGTATAGGTTTTATATATATATATATATATATATATAAAATCTATTACATATATATAATCTATTACATAGCATATGGTATACAACATGAAGTATATTGTATGTATATACATTACTTACACAATATAAGACATATAGTATCTAATACATATAATATATAAAACATATATAATACTTAACATCAATTCATTCTACAAACATTTACTGAGAACTGACCAAATAGCAGACACTGTAATGCATGATGCAAAAATAAAGAAAATGGATTCCTTGACTTCAAATACTTCATTGGCCACAGACGGAGAAAGATGAGGAAATAACTTACACAATAGGTAACAGCTAATCTACTTTCTGTGGGGCTGTCTTCTAAGCTCTTTGCCAAATCAGCCCTTTTAATGTCACTATAACCCTAGGAGATAGGTTCTATTATTGCACTCTCTTTACTGGTGAGAAAACTGAGGCCCAGAGAGTGAAGCAGCTGGCTCAAGGTCAGATAGCTATTGTGTGACGGAGCTCAGGTTCTGACCCAGGCGCACTGATGCTACAGCTACCCTGCCATGACCTCATGTGGAGGGACAAACTCTCTGTGAGCTTGCCTATGAAAACCCAGCAGGAACAGGGAAGGGTCTATCACATAGAATTCTGTGGGTAATGTGCATGAATCTTCATCAGATTCCTAAGTGACAAAATAGATGACATCATAGTAGAGACCCCCAAGATGCTTCCAAGATGTTTTAAAGTTCAGCTTTGGAAGATGCTTCTAAACCCTACCCTCCAGACTCTCGATCTTCCTCAACCTGGTGTTTGGTCTGCCAAGTGCTGGTGTCATCTGCCTCCAGAGCTGTCATTACCATCACTAATCTGTACCATCATTTACTACAACACTAAAAGAATCCACGGAGCTTAATTTCCATGGCATTTCTCTCTCCCGCCCCTCCAAGTCTCAGGAAAATAACTGGGGACAGAGGCCAAACATCGTTTATGGATTTAATCTCCCACAAAGCATTGAGAATTTAGGAAGTACACAGTGGGCACGTAGCTCGAGCATACCAAATGAACTAACCAAACACCTTAGCTACCCTTTCAGGTTTTAAGAGGGTGGATCTCAAATTCCTTCCCACTGAAACAAGTGGATTAATTTGAGGATGCCAAGTTTGCCAAAACAGGAAACACTTGGTGATACAAATAGAAGACATCACCCCCAAACGAAATGATTTGTTGATTCAATATACCAGTTTCTCTGTACATGCAATTTTGAAGGGTTTATTTGATGAAAATAACAGAACAGATTAAACTGCTAACGAAAATCTTATTTCCACTGGGTTTACGGTACAAGAACTTGAAAAGTGTCCCGATGTCAGAGTGTCTAATCGGAGCCAGGCCGCTCTTC